CGGAAGGAAGCAACAGCCACTGAGACAAGAGCCCATCAGAAGCAGTTTCTCGAAGCTAAGATTCTCGAGTGCAAATCTTGGCTTGACAACGAAGTGTTCGACCTAGTCGACACACGCAAGATTCATGTCATAAACTGGTCACCGGTCGCCAGAAAATGATCAGCAGACAGACAGTCCTGCTGCGCCCAGGAGTTGTTTCCGCCTTGCGACCCAAGCAGCAATTCTTCAAGGAGAAGCATATGATCAGAATCGTGACATCATTTGCCAAATCCCTCCTGAAATGGGATACCCCCAACTCATTGGTGCTCGCATGAAGAAACCTGCCTACGGGCTGAATGATGCACCACGCAGATGGTGGAACATCCTAGATTCAGCACTCCGTTCATACGGATTTGTGCCAACACGAGCAGATCGTTGTACATATGTTTACTACGGTAAACAGCTTCCAAAATCCACACTGATCAGCAAAAAGAAATCATCCAATACATTCGATTTGGAAGGCGCAGTTGATTACCTCATGGGCCCCGTTTCCGGTAACAACGCCAAGAATCGACAAGTTCACGGAGCACTTTCTCTTCATGTAGATGATCTTCTTATGACCGGGGATGACGTTTTTGAGAAGGACAAGAATCGACAGGGCGACTTTGTAAAGATTTCCAAGTTGGTTCCGAAGATAAGAATGATTGCCTTTTCGTGGGTCAACTCATCCAATGGAAGCATGACGACAAGCACGGTTGGTGCATCAATGTTCACCAGAACGTTGCCATTGACTAACTTCAAGAGATCGCTTTCGACAAGAACTTGAAAGATGACACTCCACTCACGCCACAGATGCACGAGCATTGAGGACGTTCGCGCCATCAACAAAACAGTCAGAACCATCAAGAGCACACCGCTTAGCATGAGATTCTGGCCCCTTCGTGGACACGTATAGTTGGCCTCCTGAAGGAATCCGATCATCCTGCTCTAGTCTGGAACAGGCGATTCCTGAGCTGCGCGCAGGGCTCCACCATCCTCGATTACGAACCGACGTTCAACTTCGTTCCTCAGCTTAAGGCACGACTCGATGAATTGTGGCGCCCTGCCTTCCAAGGAACTGGGCACATACGGCGAGTGCATACATGGACTACACCAAGAAGATTTACAGCGTTTGTTGCCACACCCCGATCCGGACGATTACGAACCGATAGCATTCCGATGGTGTGCCACAACAAGCAGATCGACGTGAAAAGGAGAATGTAATCAAACTGCATATCCCTGACCTGAAGCTGCTGCGACTCGCCAAAGATCAGGAGCCATGAAGCGGGCGCGTCCTCATTGACGGCAGCAACATTGCATCCATGGAGCTTGCGCACATTGCGCCGGACGTTGGAACACCAGTGAAACGACTGGACGGGCTTGAGCGGATCCTCTTAGTTGCAGCAATCCCGTAGCGATCCTGCACCCGTGAGATCATGCAACGAGGATCCTGTCATCTTCAGTGGACCGCCGCGTTCCAATCTGGATCGCTTTGGACATCTGCGAGTACTTCTCTCTTGATAAATCCAAGGCGCAGCAGATTGTCCACTTCATTCTCTGGAGAGTCGAGAGATTGAGCCGATTGTTTTCCCGATGCCTACGACATGGTCAATCCTGATGGATCCTGCAAGCTCTACAACGCATTGCGCGCGATCAGCCATGCAAGGAATTTCCTGGGCAACAGGCCCTTCATTTTCTTGTTTCCGAAATATGGAAAGTCCCGATTTGAGATCGCATTTGTATTTCCAGCCTATGCTGGAACATACCGGGAACGCGAACGGAAGGGCGCCATTGTCCCCAAACAGGTGGATCGAGAACCTCGCATCCCAAGCAGCATACGAAGCTCCCCGACCTGATGGATCAGCATTCTTCAAGGATTAGGAAATGGAACTTTTTATGTGAGATGCTACAGTGGTCATTCGCGACCCGTTGAGATTGAGTCCATTGGGCGACCACTATTCACGGAACAGCAGGATCACCAACAACAAGATCCGGACTACGATCTCCCATCGTCAACAATCCACGAGCGCACCCATCCTTCAAGATCCAACAAGCAGCATGCGGATCAAGGCACAACGCAGCCGAACAGGAGAGGAAGATTAATCCATTTGACAAGAAGCCAATCACCTTCATGTTCCATGCGACCTACAAAGGCCAGATGTACAACATCCTGGAACAAGGAATCAAGCCGGGGAAAAGCTTGACCCCACGAGGGAGAACCCATGTCCATCTTGCAAGCAACGTAATCCTCGACGATGAGCCATCCAAGGCAGCATTGGTTCATGTGCCTGGAGGACGAGATGCCCTCTTGATCCTTGGCTTCATCAAGGACAATCACCAAGGCATCAGGCTGACCGAGGAACGCACTGCATTGTCCGAACGCACTCTCAGGCCACAAAACATCATTGCGGCATACTTGCAGACCAAACACTGGATCATGAAGAAGAACCTGGACAAGGAAGATCTGGAACAGTATGTGACCAAGATCCAAGAATTCGCGCAGGATTTCTTGACAAGGGCCAATCTCAAAACAACACATCCACCGAGACCAAGAAACGACGGCGTTCCACTGACAAGGACGATGATGATGAACCGCCGAGAATGGCCAGGGAAAGAACCGTCAAGCACAGGGTCACGGTGGAGTACATCAACCCTGACAACCTCGCCGATTTCAACGAAGATTTCCAGAAGGTCTACCTCGACCAAGACATGAGTAAAGCTGAAGCGGAAGAAGAACTGAAGACCACCAAGTAAAGCTTCAAGGACTTCATGCGAAAGTATGAACAGGATCCTCAGAATGTTCATCCAGACCTCAACCAATGTGAGATTGATTCCCTGAAACACGTCGATCCTGACGCACACGTTGAGGAAGAAATATTCTACTTTTGCCACAGCAGCAACAAGCCAACCATGGACGAGTACAGAGCTGCACAACCAGCATCCGGATATCCGATTCGACTGCCACTTGGACTGAAATCTCTCAGGAGCCGCCCCCCCAGTTGTGCTCGACGCCCGTGGCAAAGACAGAAACGAACCACAACGTCCAACTGAGCCACAGCCGCCTGTGTCCGCCACCCCCGTGTCCGATGGAGCCATGGCCACCTGTCCCCGCCACCAACGGACTTCTGTGGCAAAGACAGCAGCGAACCACCTCCGCGGCGTGTCTCCGCCACCCCCGTGGCAAAGACAGACGCGAACCATGACGTTGCTTCTGTGTTTGCCACGGGGGTGGCAGTGACAAGCGGCAGTTCACTTCTGTCTTTTCCACGGGGGCGGAGACAGTTGTGTCTCCGTCTGAAATGCAAAGACCGGCGGCCGTGGCTTTCTCGGACTTGGTCGGACACGGGGGCGAGGCGGAGCGGCGCTTTCGGTATGTTGTTCTGATCTTCGCCACGAGGGTGACGGAGACAGGCGGTCATGGCTTTGTCAAGCGTCGTGGTTCGCTCCTGTGTTTGCCACGGGGGTGGCGGCGACAAGCGTCCGTGGGTGGCCGTAACTTTGAGCTTCGCCGGACCTCGTGACTGGCCTCTGTCTTTGCCAGGGGGGGTGAGTCCGGAACCGGGGGCACTTATCTTTTACAATAGCATGGCTGTCTACTTTATAGGTGCAAAGAAGGGCCCTTGAGCCAATATGTGATACGGGGATTGCGGTAAGGTCAATGGTTTGACAAAACAGACACACATTTCTTTTGACCTTCCACATCGAATTGCTATGTTGTATTCGCTGTAAGACTGGCTCTGCCCTTCGTAGCCTTGAACTATAGATTGATTTAATCTGAATCCCTTTTGTGACGTGATTGATTGGTTCGTCTGGTGTCTGAAAGTTTGTACATCCGTGATGCAAGATGGGATCGAATTCGTAAATATGTTTCGTCAAGCAAAAGAGGTACCTCTGTGTACCTGAAGGATTGCATGTCTTTTGTTTGATGCATGGCTTGTAGTATTTCTTGTGGTCATGCTGGTGCCAAGTATTCTGCTTGCGGCTTTCCTTGCCTCTGCGGATGTCTCTCTTCTTGGCCTAGGTTCGACTTCGGATGTGTACCATGAGTGATGCGTGCGAATCGGAGTCGCGGATTGTATTCATAAACATTTGGTTGGTGAGGTGCTTGAGTCGCTCAGATGAGGATACCTGATAGTCAGCGATGGTGAACATTTTGTCTCCTTCATATCGTGCCAGATCGTCGGATGTCATTGCTGCTGATTCATCCAGGCGAAACAATTGCTGGTCCTCCGTCTTGCCCCGCCCAAATACATCCGGGAAGATTGTTCGGTCATAGTGCCTTTTGAATCCTGTCTGGAAGAAATATAGAAGAAATAGAAGAAAGTAGAAATATAAGAAACTAGAACACAGCAGCGACATGCCCAGCATCCCCACTAGACGAGACGTGATGCTGAGATCATTACCCCCAGCATCGCCAACAGCACATCACCAAGACCACAAACAACATCCCCTTTCTCAAAACAACGTCGATGCTGTCAGGCGCTGGTCCCTGTACAGCCACATACGATTAGTATCAGGGACGAAAAACACCCAACATGTCGTTTTTTTGCATCCCAAGCATCGCAACCACGGTCTAACGTGCCTTTTGAAACCCATACTATATAGAAGAAATATACAATACATATAGAAGAAGTACAAGGTAGAACAAAGCAGCAACGTCCCCAGCATCCCCACTAGACCAGACATGATGCTGAGATCAACCCCAGCACATCACCAAGACCAAGAGTGAGGATAACATTTCCTTTGTGAAACAGTTAATTGACTTGTGTAAAGAAGATACTGTCATGTGCATTTAACAAGCAGAAAGCATCTCCTGCACTCACCAGCCTACCCGCGCGGCTTGCCCTTGCAGACCATGCCCTCTTTTGCAACCAACCCGCAACGCCGGGCGTCCATAGGTCGTCTACTTTGCATGTGTAGGTAGAGGATCATCTTGCCTTTCAGAGGCAGGGTTTGGTTTTCCTCGTGCGATTCCGCCCAAGGATGGCGAAACCGGCGCTGTTCTACACACACGACCGTCACTCAAGATAGAACTGAGAGACGCTGAATGTTAAGAACGACTCACGCCAGCCTGGGCATGAGGACGCTCTCACACAGCGCCTATCACAGCCTTTTGCTGGATTGATGCCGGAGATCTTGAGGACACATGGCCAGCGACTCGGCGCCATTGCCAAAGATTTCCACCTTTGTCAGCTCATACTTGGTCTCGCCCAGGCTTGCAAGATCGAGCATGCTGCCACCGCTTCTCAGCGTGCCAAGTTTATCACTTAGTTGCAAAGAGCCCGTGCCATGTGCCGCTGAAATGGCAACATCAAGGTGCCCCGAGCAACATGTATGCGGAGCCTGGCCCCCAGGTTTAATTGATCACCTATGCCTTGCATAGAGCGCCAGGACGCCATCAAAGGAGGAGCTGAGCCCTTCGGGCTTTACTCTGCTGGTCCGGCTCATAGTGAGGCGAGGCACAGACGCCTTAGACGCCTTGCCTGAGGTCTCACTTGATGAAGCTGGCCACCTTGTTGTTGCGGCTCGTGGCACCTTCCCCTTGCAGGCGTGTGAGTCACATTCTCGCACATGACATGAGCAGAGTCCAGGCCCAGAACCTCTTCGAAGGCCAATTCGGGCCAGGCTCTTGGTGCCTGCGATCGAAAAATCATTTTTTCGCCCACAATCAAGTCATGAGGAAGTTGTCTGAGCAGTGCCGCCGGCCCATGGCGGTGCAATTGTCGCCTGATCTCCGGTGCCTCGCCGTGCTGCTTGGTCCTGGTGGCTCAGGAGGGGCGGGGGAGCTCTGCTGCGGAAACGGGAGCTGCACTTGCGCAGCGCTCTCGTGCCGTGCAGCGCATCCACATGCGCGTCTGCCCGCGCAGCATCTCACGTGCACATGCGCCGCATCATGCGCTGTGCAGCTCTGTGCAAATGCCCATTGCCCGCAGTGCCGGCAGTGCCGGCAGTGCCGGCAGTGCCCGCAGTGCCCGCAGTGCCCGCAGTGCCCGCAGGAGCCAGGACCCCAGAGGGACCATGCGCAAGGAGCCGCTCAGAGAGAGAGGCCTCTCAATGCCCGGCCAAGCGCAGGACGCCTTCCCCTAGGCCTTCCCAGGTGCGTGATCTAGTAGCCGAGAGGGTGCAAGTCCCCAGCTTTGTCAGGCTTGGTCACATCCAGGCCAGTTCTAAGAGTCACACACGGCAGGCTTGGCTGTGAATCTTCAGGTGAGCTTGGCCTGGCTGTTGTGGTGCTAGACGTGAGGCGTGTCCTTGACTTTCTCCAAGTGCCGCAAGAGAACACGCATGGCTGGTGGGCACGTGCAGGAAGTTCGCCGTGCGGCGGAGGGAGCTGGCTCACTGCGGGGTTCTGACGGTCTGACGTGTCCGATGTTTCATTGGGTTCATTGGCCCATGTTTGAGCGAGCGCACAAATTGGACTGCACATAGGTTCAGCCATGTCAGAACGCCTCTGTGCCGTGGCGAGCTACGCGCTGCAGGCACTCTTTCTCTAAATGCACAGATCTCTCTCTGGGTCTCGAGGCTGTGGAGACACTCGCAACGGTGTGGCGAAGTGCAGCAAGTACCTTCGTCAACAAAATGAGGACCGACCGTGTGTCAGGGGCCAGGGATTGGGGCTCGGCTTGCAGGGCCCTCATTGACTGCATCCAGGCCTTTTCGTGAGCGCTCAGACGCTGTGCTGTGCTCTTGCACCGAGGCTTACTCCGGGGCAGGCCCGTGTCACCAGTGACTAGCTGGGCTAGATGTTTTCTTGGATCCGCAAGCCGAGGTTCCAAAGCCAAGGGCACAGTGCACTCGGAGCTTCTCTATACGCTTTGCACAGGTTCGAAGCGCGACATTGAGCCACAACTGACTTGAAGCCCTCAGGCAATCCATCTGATCCAGTGCACGCCTTTCTTACACGGCACGCAGCTTTGTGCGCTTAGATGCGTCTTTGCTTTGCAGCTGTGCCAAGGCAGACCACTCCGCAACAGCACAGCACTGAGAAAAGACTGACAACATGAGTCTTGACAGTACCGCTCATATTAAGGTTATCCCGGATTGAGAAGAGCTTGATGCAAGCATTGGATTACGCGCCGCGCTGAAGTGTGGCTGAAGTCATGATTCTTTCTCCAGTGCACGCTGACAAGGTCAATCTTGTGACGACGACACGCCTACAGGCAGGCATTTTCTGCCTTGTGCGTGTGACATGACAATGTGGTTTGGTTGTGCGTGATCAGGTAGCTGTCCAGCATCTCCAGAGCATTCTCCAAGATCTCAAGGTGTCCGGCCACGAATGGATTGAAGGATGCTGCATGGAACCTATTGCCTATATTGATCTATATTGCCTCAAGGCCTGTGCTGGGCGCTTCAGCTCCCTAGGTGGCAGGCCACGTGGTGAAAGCCTCAGAATCCAACCTGCAGGCTTGGACTTCGGGCTTTTGGACGAGCTGGAGACGCAAGTCACGGGCTTCTCAGCTTTGACGGAACAATTGCAGCGCCCTTAGGGCAGCATTCTATCTTCGGCAAACATTTGGCCGACGCCAGGCTTTTGGATGTCTCAGCTGCGCGGCGCTTTGCCCGTACGCTCTTCCAGCTTTTCCTCTATCAGGTGAGCGCACCGTGAGCGCACCTTAATGTTTCTAATATTTTCTAATGTTTCTAATGTTTCTGTTTCCTCTCTCTCTCCGCTCTCTTGGCAAGGCGCAGAAGCTGTCGGAAGGGGCTCCCGAGGCCGGCACCCCATCATCTCGGCCTGGGCCCTTGAGAAGCACGGAGCGTCTCGATTCCTTTCAATGTGACACACTCATTTCTATGCGCCGAGGGCAGATGGGTCCTACGCAGCTTGAAGCTTGACAGATTGCACAGATTGGTAGAGCGTTTCTGGCCGGCCTCGTTTTCCGACTGCCAGTGCATCCGAAGGCGCCAAGCCCCAGCGAAGTGGACGACTTTGTCGCAGCTGTACGCCAACAGTCGCTGGAGCTGGAGGATGCCAGCACCTCAGATCTCAGCGCGATTGGATTTGAGACGGAACGTCTTTCTTTCTTTCTTTCTTTCTTTCTTTCTTTCTTTCTTTCTTTCTTTCTTTCTTTCTTTCTTTCTTTCTTTCTATTTTTTAAAGTTTGTTGACTCCCCACAGCTGGGAAACGTTTGGTCGATTCAGGTGACTGCGCGGATTGGCACGAGGCCAAAGGCGGAGCTGCCAAACTCTGCTGTGATTTGCCATCGCCGAATGCAAAGAATGCAGAAGGTGTCCGGAGAGGATGGAAGAGTTTCCATCTGAGCATGGAGTGATGAGAGTGTGCAAGCACTGGGTGGGAGGGGATTGGAGCCTAGGAGTCTCTTGCTTCGAAGATGGCACGGCTGGTGTCTGACGTGTCGCTCCCAGAGTGTCGGACTGGCATTTGCTTTGAGTGATTGGGACGCCGAGCAATCCAAGATATATAAGTGAAGTGCAATTTACAAGCCGCTTTTCTGATTTACAGATATGACAAATGCGGCAGCGACGAATCCGTGAGCTGTCACCGAACCGGGGTTGAGGCCGAGCGACTGGGACAGCGCATCTGCAGTGCCATGGCCCGGCACAGTTCTCCCCTTCTCTGCCAGCCTTGGCCTTCGCCTTCGGGTTAAGTTGCGACCTTCCATGGACATGTCGGTCGACATGTCGGTCGACATGTCTGACATGTCTTCGGATTTGCCTCAGGTCCTTGGAGGTGGTCTCCCCATGGCGGGCCGTGTACTCGGAGCTCCGGGCGGCTGCCGGCGCTGACATGGCCGCCGGGGTGCCAGGGCCTGAGCCATGGAATCTCGCTCCTCTGGCTCCTCTCGCTCTCGCCCTCAAGGTGTGTCCTCGTTTTCTGTATCTTTCTTTGTTTTTCTTTTCTCATGTCTTTTCTCATGTTTTTCTTTTTTCTTTTCTCATGTTTTTCTTTTTTCTTTTCTCATGTCTTTTCTCATGTTTTTATTTTTTCTTTTCTCATGTTTTTCTTTTTTCTTTTCTCTCCTTTCATCCTCTTTCTTTCTCAGGCCTAGCCCTCGTGGTCTGGGGCGGCCGATGCTGCACATGGCCTGGCAGGAGGGCGTCTCTGAAATTGATTTCAAGTTGCCGGGGACAAAATCGGATGGCCATGATGGCCCAAATGGTGTACCATAATGTACCCACGCGAACGCTGGGCGATAGCATGCCCAGCTGTTGCTCTGATTAGCAGGACCTTCCGCAGCAGAAGGCCGGATGCCAATCTGAAGAGATGCAACTCAAAGAGGATGCAGCTAAAATAGAGGGGCAAAGATGGCAAAGAGACTAAGAGATGCAAACCCTTTTTTTAAGGAAATTAGCCGACCCAATGGAAGCTCAGAGCTCGGATGTGAGGACACCTTGGTGGAGAGTCTGCCAGAACCTCGCACGGACAGCACAAACATTACAGTTGCGACGCATTAAGTCCTTTAAGTCCTTTAAGTCCTTTAAGTCCTTAGGCCAGAAGAGCTGCTGCTCTTGTGGTGCCAGCCTTGGCCTCAACGAGTCGACTCGCTTGGGCCGCTCCAAGGGCTGGCGGGGCCACGGAAGCGAAGCTCAACCTGGCACGTGTCCGGTTTTCTGCCAGGGCCAAAGTGCCGTGCCGACGTGCCGACGTGCCGACGAGTCGAGAAGCCAAAACTCGTGCATGTCCCATTGAGGTCGGCAAGCGAGAAGCCGCCGTGCAGCCCAAGTTGGACCTTGCCACGGTGAAGGCAAGGCTTTAAAGCTTTAAGGCTTTGGACGTGGAGAAGAGTCTGCAATGCAACACTTTCAATGCGAGATGCAAGGCCAACGCCTCGAGCACTGGGCAGGGTTCCTGTCAGAAGATGTAGATGTATATTGGCACGTTTTTTTGCTCAGGCATTTCCTGCTTTGTCGGTGCTATGATGCTGACCGCATCGCAGCATTGGTCCTGCAGGACTGCCAAGTCTGCTATACTGCGTGTGTGTGTGTACCAAGAGCGTAGATGAGCTTAAAAGAGAATATCGATTGAACTAAAGAGAATTCCATTGCTTCCATTGGGAGCCATCGATTAGCAAGGAGGAGCCATCAAGATCTGCGACGGTGCGCAGCGATGACATTGGCGATGGCATGCACGTCTTCACTGGGCACAATGTTTTGTTTTGGTACAGGTCTGCCTCATCGACATGACGGACTTAGAGTCTCGGTCTGGCGCCTGATTTCGTGCATGTCGAGGCTTGATGGCTCAGGTTTCATCCTTTCGGCTCGGAGGTGCGGTGACGCGGCAGACAAGCTGAGTGCAATTTGACAGCAACCGGCGAGGCATCCGCCATTCTCAGTGACATGCAGGCATGGAATGGCATGGACATCTTGTGCAGTTTGCGTATGGTGCAACGTGCCTAACGTGCAAGGTCAGTCAAAGTGCTCCTTTGCCAGAGAGCTACCTGTGGGCTGCTTCTCAGGATTGAGACTTGAGACTTTCACAGGCTTTCAGCTTTCAGTCTCAAGACTCAACGAAAAAACTCAGCTGAAGCCTAGGCTTCCGCCATGCGGGTCATGAGCCAGCGGGGAGTATGCTCGATCTATTCCTGGCGAGCTCGGCGGTTGCTCACCCTGGAGCCTCACCGAGCGTTGCTGTTTCATATACTTTGTACGTTTTGTAAACAGCTTTGTACTTGCTGAGTCGCCGAGTGTTGTGTTTGCTTTGTGTTTGATCCCGGACCTGACTTCTGCTTCCATCGGGCCTGTCGGGAGGACATGGAAGCTGTTGATGAAATGGACGACGCTGATTGAGGGACCTGACTGAGGGTTGTCAGATGCTTGTACATAGTTTGTGATCGCGGGGATGCATGCTAGAGCCAGAAAGGCCGTGCCTGAAGGTTTGCCTGGACGTGCCTTTGCTGTGCTTGAGCAACATGACATAGTTTCATTGCTGGCTGCGCCTCGTGCTTTGCCAACGTGGTGCTCAGTCCACTGCAGCACGGGCTCAGTGCTGCTGAGGAGCCCGCAGAGGCCGTTTGCCTTGACAAGTCGAGTTGGGGAGGAATTTGAAGTTCCGACTTGGCGTTAACAGTTGGCTGATGCCCAGTTGAGCGTCGGACTCTTGGTGCATGTAGGCTCTTTATCGAATGGGCGCCTGGAGGAAGAGTGCTCAAGGCAGGCTCATGAGCAGAGAGCATGGGAGCGTGAGAGTGCCCAGGCATAGATCATGTCGGCGCTAGTGCGAATCACCACGGGTCTCGGTCTCAGGATCAGAAACTCCGGTCTCGGGTTTCGGTTTTGCAGATGTCCAATCCTTCACGCATCAAATGCCTTTCCCTGCCGTTCCTGTGCCCTTACCTCGAGGCATCATGCCCCAACACAGCCGGGTGGGGATGACAAGAGCAATGGCCCAATTCGGAGAGGCCTGGGTAACGATTCGGCGCCACTTTGTTTGCATCACTGTAAGATGTCGCCGCAGCTAGAACTTGCCATTTCTTGTCTCCAGACTGCCTGCAGTCGCTAATCTCCAGGTGATTCACTGTCACAAGCCGCCGTACTCCGGCATTCCTGGTGAGGCTCAGCGCCACATTCTGGCACTGTGAAGTTGGGATGCATGCACATCAAGCAATGCATTGGACAAAATGTCCGCGAGGACTTCGTCAACGTCCGATTTGCCAGCCAGGAAGCAGCAGTCGGGCCCTCAATGTGCTGAGGGCGAAACTCTCACGAAGCTCCTTGAACATCAGGATCGTGCCTACGCTGCGCTGAAAGCATCGCAGGTCTTTGTCGATGGATTCCCGGTCTTGGCCTTGGACAGTCTTCGCAAATGCGTGCTGAGTGGCTGAGTGCTAGGCATTGAGAATTCTATGGCTTGAAGTCCTGCAGGTCGGGGTTGGTCCTACTGGCGGCCCCAAGGGCAATGATGGCATCGCGGCAGCACTTGGGCGTTAGGGCGTTGGGATCAGCCGAGAGATTTCATTTCAAGTTTCCTCTTGCTCAGGTCCGATGGCTATCTCCAACTCTGGTGGTGGTGGTGGCCCGCCCAGGTGCCTGTGTGTTGCGGCTCAAGATCTCAAAGCCAAAGATCCGCTTGCAGCGCTTGTAGCGCTTGGAGCGCTTGCGGCGCTGCGTTCGCAGTGTTTGCCGTCTTTGTCAGGCGGCCCCGAAGTCGGAGCCCGCCGCGTATCTATGGGCGAAACCGTGCACGGAGCCCGATGCGGCGCAGCCCGGATCGGCGCCGCCGGGGTCTTGAGAACCTGAAAGAACCTGAAAGAACCTGAAAGGAGGTTGCGGGAAGTACGGAAAGGGATTCGAGTTCGATACATACGAAGTCGAGAGTCGGATAGAGAGAAACGAGATCGTCTGAGCTGAGGCCCAAGCCCGCCACAACGGCGCAAGAGGAGTCCTAGTGATCCTTGGCACACTGGGCATATGAAAGCGTCTGAAAGTCTGAAAGCAGATTGCAGAAATGGAGGCGGCGAGATTTATTTGGCTGAGGCTCCACGAGCGAACTTTCCTTCTCGCAATGACCCCAAGAGCCCCAGCCCACGACGACTGGTCAGGCAGCGCATTTCGCATTTCTTGCGGCATTTCGCATTTCTCAGGGAAATGGGCGGTAGAGCTCGGTCGCGGAGTCGATCACGTGCTCGGGATCGACGGCGTGAAGAGCGCGCAAGCGAGTTCTCAGGAGGTGCGGAGAGTGAGACGTGTGAGACGTGTGATACGTGGCCGCATTAAGAGCCCATGCTCAGGACCTGGCATGATGATGCTCAAGAACAAAAAAGAGCGAACTCCATCTCCGGACCCACCTGGACCTATGAGGAATCAGAATCCTGCCAGCGGCCTTAGCCTTTACAGAGTTTGGCTGAGCTACTAGAGCTTGTCAGCTATGTCCTGTTTTAGCCTTCCTCGGCCAGGTGAAGAATCCGTTCTTCCGGGCTGACAGGACAGGTCGAAGGATGTAGAGATAGAGAGAGAGAGAGAGCGAGAGAGACAAAGAAAAGGAAAGCGACAGGAGACCACGTGGCAGCGTTTGGAAATTGTTTTTGCAGGAGCCCATCTCCTGTTACTGCGTACTGAGAGCGGGCTTCCTATTTTGGGGCACAAGCAAACGCGGATGCAACTAGAGAGCGCAGTGCAACGAGTCCAATGTAAGGTTTGGCAGATTGGACAGAAGGTTGGCTCATTGTGATCTGACAGAATGCAGTTGCAGTATTGGGAAGATTGAGCTGTGACTCTGTCGGCATTGCACCCCGAAGGTGAAACACGTGTGTGAAGTAGAAGCGGACGTCAGCTCTTGCTTTGCTTGCGCTGTCTTTGGGATGTTGATTCCGCATGTCGCAGTCGAGCCGAATGGATGCAGAGTTCTGTGTTTAGTTGAGTCTGCCTAGTTTGTAAGCATGCCAGTTGAGTTGAGTTGAGTTGTCGTTTGCATCGCAGGTGGACATGTTGGCAGTGGGCTGTATTTCACTGCGCGTCGATTGCGATGCCAAAGAAATCAAAGCGGGGTCGCCTTCGGCTCCAGCTTGTGCCAGAATGTGAAGCAGAAGGACGATTGAAAAGAACTCTTCATACTTTCTGTATTTTCAGTTCAAGTACGTATCGAGTCTTTTCAAAGATTCAGAGACCAAATCAGGTTCAGGTACTGTTCAGCACCGTTCAGCACCGTTCAGCACTGTTCAGCACTGTTCAGCACACTGTGGTTGGTTGGAGTTTCATTGCTGCATTGAAAGCCAGGCTCGCCACATTTCTTAACGAATTACAGGGTGCTGGATGCCCCCTGTCTCGGAAGATCCTTTCCGAGATCAGATTCTTGCGTCCCTGCCGAGATTGGTTGACAGGACGCATTTGCAGTCTCAGCATGAATCGCAGTGATACGACACAGCCTTGGCACTTTCAAACTTACATTGCTGACGCACATCGCATTTGGTACCGTATTTGTATTGGGGTCTTAAAACGGTTTGACACTTTGTTTCTAGTGTGACATCATCTTAATCCAATTAACGGATGTGGGGCAGAGTGTTTGATCGGAATGGCGGGATCTGAGATTTCTGGGAAGGGGGAACTGAAGCTCCGGAGCGCCGAGATGCAAGCGGCTAGCGTCCGTGGCAATCCCGCCAGTTTCCTCCTTGCGATCGCGCTTCCTGGATTCACGAGTGAAGACAATGAGGAACTAGCTCAGCACCCGGCAATTTGCCTCAAGGTTTGCCGGTGTATGTTGCATGTTGGACCGAATTGATAAGAATAATAGCAAGAACAATTCTTGAATCGATTCCACTCCGAGGTGCTGATCATTTGAGTGCCCACACCATTTGTCAGCAAGTGATTCAAGGACAACCGCTAGAGCTTTGTTTTCAAAAAAGTGGACTCCTAAGAGCTTTGATACCCAGCTAGCTCGAAACAGCAGCTTGGAATGGAAGCTGTTTTTCGCAGCAAGAGCTTCGATGCCAAACCACTTTGAATTAGCTTGGATGCCAACAGCGTTTTCTGATAAGAGCTTTGGTTTTCAACCGCGTTTCATTAAAGAGGTTGGTGGCCCGAGCGTGTCGTGTAGGAAGGGCCTGGATGCCAGATCGCTTTGTAGTAAGAGCTTGAAATGCCAAGCCGTTGTGTCATAAAGGCTTTGATGCCAAGCTGTTTCGAAGTATCAAGGAGCTCCGACGCGATGCCGCCGTGTAGTAAGAGCTTCAAAATGGGTCTTAAATCTGAAACTTGATTGTTTGAAGGCACTGTGGCGGATGCTGCGCGAATGTCGGAACCATATCCACGCGTAGAATTCTGCTGATGAATCAGATGCCGAAGTCCGGGAACAGAGATGAAAAGGCTAATATCACTGCCAATAGCCATCATCCCCACCCCCCACACAGTTGTTCATTTGCACGGTGCTTTTGGCAAGACTTTGGGCGCCCAATGGTTGTGTAGCAAGCAACCGGATGCAGCGTAGTTTTGTAGCAAGAGCTTCCATGCCAGACGAAACTCTGCCGAGCCAGGGGATCCTGAAATCTGCCGCCGAGGACGCGTCCACTTCCCCAAGTAAAGACTTCTTGCAAGCGCGAACGCGAGAAAGCGCGAAAGCGAGAAAGCGACACGCCAAGATCGGTTCAGGATCCGTCGGATCCGTCCCACCGAGCCGCGGGCTCAGATGTGATGCGCAGTCTGTTCGTCTCAGCCAGTGAGAGGTTTGGGTGGAGGAGCTGCTGGCAGCACTGCAGGCGGCTGAGCAGGGCGAGGCCGTTTCCCAGGAGATGGGGCGGTGAAATGCGTCCTTTGGTTCAACTTCGATGGTTTGCACAGGGCATGAACTACAAGGAGCCTCCTTTCCATGTGCACCAGCCTTCATGTGCAAGAGTGTGAAAAAAGGGGTGTATACGACCATTTTCTTTTGTTTGGGCACTGGCAGGTTCTTTGAGCTTGTGATGAGTGCTGCTTGCTTCGCGTTGTGGAACTCCAAATGCTCAGGACCAGTGCAGAAGACCTCGAATTCATGTAGGTATCACTGAATCACATGGTATCACCCTGTTTCATGTGGTACCTTGGGCATAGGTTTCAGAGATTCAGAGGATGCGCCATTTGAAGAACCATGCGTGCGCCTGGATGTCGGCTGCAAGCATTTGCCGATGCGGCCTAGAAGTTTTCTCCGCTATCACAAAGTTGCCAAGGCAATGGACCGGAGAGAGACGCATTGGACATGAATTTTCCTGAGGAGTCGCAGGAGACATCAAGGCCGTGAGCGCTTGCCATGCGCTGCGCTTAGTCGCTGCTGCGCTTTTGCGCTCGTGTGTTTGGAGGCTCTTTTTCCTGGCCTGTGGCCTTGAAGAAGCCACGGACAAACCTTCGTTTAGGCCTTCGGATTCAGCTTTCTCAGTTTCGTTTGCGTGTCTCGAGAAGATTCTGGCAAGGCTTCCCGAATATGGAGAAGTGCGATCTGCCAAGCAGGTGGTCTCCAAATACCTTGCAAGCCTGGCGCGCTGCATAGATTGGGGTTTCATTTGCAGCATGCAGTGTGCATGTGCTGACCCGGCAGTGCAGCTAAATCTCGGCCCAGACTTTTACGTGGCACGTAGTATAGTATACTTGCGGACAAGCACAAGTAGGGGGGCGCACTGATATTGAGAAAACAAACGGCTTTCACACGCGTGGATTTCTTAGCGCATGCGCTATCTGCTGCCATGCCCTGGGCTGCTCGGCGATGTCAACGAACTCACTCTGCCAGAATGTGGCGCCTCGTAGCAAGGTGGTACTGGGTGTCCTTGCGCACTACGCAAAACTGCGATGCTCAGGTTTTGTGTGGCTCTAATCGTCAGGGTCTTGGTGGCCTGAGATGGGTCAGACTCGTCAGACTCGTCAGTCTTGTAAGGCCGGAGCGCGCACTTGGTGTGAAGTTGGGCGCCGAGCAGTGTCATTGACCAAGTCCTGATCCGATCGAGAGCCACCTGTCCAGTCTCGTTTAGCATGGTAATTGCGGTTTGGCAAACAAAAGTTTCAGCTGCTACACTGGCACACGTATGACCAGATTCCACCAGAAAGATTGGCTCATCGACCCCGTACAAGGTTCATGCATGTATGAGTGGTCAGGGGACTGGCGAAATGAATTTTGCACAGGTCCACTGATGGTAGTTGGAACTGTCGACAGTGGCTCATGTCATAATGTAGTACTGCGCCTCACATCCAGAGGTTTGATCTAATCGCTCGGACGCATTGCTTCATTCACCTTAGCAGCAGCATGGACCTCTCCTTGGCCCAAAGAGAACCAGACTTTGGCTCAACTTGGATCAATTTGGCTCAACTTGGCTCAACGTGTCACGTCGTGTCACGTCGTGTCACGTGTCCAGCTGAGGCTCCCTGGGCTTCTTGTCCCGGCGGTCGCCCACGCTGAGGCTCGACTGGACGCACGTCGCGCGAGACTCGTCGCACGCGACTGGGACCGAGGCTCTGTCAGATGGCTTCAGCTACGAGACCCTGGTGCCCGGCACAAACGGCACAAGCCAGCGAGATGGTCCCGTCTGGAGCCTGGACACTTCTTGCGCTGGGTGCTCAGAGTTGGCCTAGGCGAGGAAATATGCGAAGGTTTGGTTAACGTCCGACTCTTAGCACGTCGACAATGGAAGTGCTGGGCAGAGCCGGGCAGAGAGCCTTGAGCGCCAGATTTGTCGGGCACGTGGGCAGCTTTGACGGCCCTGTCTTCGACTCTTCGATGTTGAGGGCTGCGAGACGGCCTGTGAAGAAGGATTGGAGCCGATGCGCAGAGCAAGCAGTGTGTATGTGTTGAATAATGTTGAATAATGTTGAATAATGTTGAATCTAGAGACGGATCTTGATTCAGTTCGGCAAGGATTATGTGGAGATCGAGGCTGACATGGACCCATCCTTTGCTCCAGGCATGTGGGAGGCACTGGAGATTTCTGCGTGAGACTTTGCCAGCGACACCAGCGACTGCTCGGCTGCAGGCACTGCGCCTTATGAAGGTCGGGGAGAAGGCGTGTGGCTTGCGATCGAGTCGACAGCTGATCACCTTGCAAGTCTAAGTGAGCAGCGATCAAAAATGCTCAAAGCAATTCAAGTAAGGGAGCGCTGAAATCAATCCGCGCGGAAGGTTTTCTGCAGACCGCGGAAGCTTGCGGAAGGGCCGGCGGACTTGACTAAGAGAGCGTCAAAAGCGTGTAGACATATTTTGCTCTCAAGCGATTTGTTTGGGCCCAACAGTTGTTTTTCGCTCCCGGGCCAAAAAACAATTTGTTCGGGCCCGAATCGTTTTTGCTCCCGGGGCTTAAAAACAATTTGTTCGGGCCCGAATCGTTTTTGCTCCCGGGGCTTCAAAACGGTTTGTTCGGGCCCAACAAATCGTTTTTGCTCCCGGGGCTTAAAAGGGATTTGTTCGGGCTAAACAAACCGTTTTTGAACCCCGGGCCTTACATGCGTGGAGATTGATGTTGGGCTGAATTCGCGGAACACTGGAGGAAGGGCGCGGAAGGACCGCAGAAGGGTTCCGTGATTTGGATGACTTGTGTGCGATGTGTTGTTCTCGTTGGCCCTGTGCGGGAATCGTAGCCGCGGTGTGTCGTGAGGCTTTACGTTTGCGTTGCAATTCTATTAGGATTCGCGTTTCAGGGCTCGTCGTGACCCATAAACCATTTGCTACAGCCGTCTACTGCTCGTAACGGAAACTGGATGGCTCCACGTTGCACAAGGATTTCTCAAGCACAGGCTCGCAATCTCTTCAGGGCTTCCCCAGCATGGCTGTTTCACTTACCTGTTTCTAGCATCCAAGCCTTTAGTATCACCAGCTATGCCGCTAAATCCAAAGCCATGGGCCGATCTGGCCTCATCTTCTCGTGGATCTAGTTGTGTTGGCTTGGCAAGAAAGAGACGCAAGCCGCGGAAGGCGCGGAAGGGAAATGAGAGCGCGGAAGCAAACGCCCGCAGCGCGGAAGCGCGCGGAAGCACGCGGAAGCGCCAAATGATATCATCGCAATTTGGCCTATTGATTTTGATCGCCGCTCAAGTGGGCGTGGGCGTGGGCGCTCATGACTTGCCAGGGGCGATTCGTCCAGCCTCCCACCTTGAGCTTTGGCGAAGGCACCGTTGCCTTCGAAGGACCGACACGCCTTGAACTTCTTCATGTTTCAAGCTCGGATGCATGTTGCCACGAGAGGTTGGAGCATGAGACCTTTTCTTTAGGAGACGAAGATGCAGAGGTGAAGCAAGTTCCGGCGGGTGCGACGTTGTACTATGATGTGGAGCTTGTTAGAATTATTCGACCCTGATGGCAAGTAAAAAGCGTGCGCCTCCAACAGCTCAGATTGCACACGTTTTAAGTCATTGCTTTATTGCTTAAGCGTCCTTCTTCCAGTGTCACACGAGATCTCAGTGATCTCAGTGGCTAAGGCCACAGAGCACAAGGAGGATCACAAGGCGGAGCTAGGCCGGGGACAGCCTGTTGCTTGAGATTTTGAGGCGCACGTTTATTTTGTTGGATGAAAAGGCATCCCAAATGGGAGGTCCCCCATGCATCATGCATTTTGGCATGGAAAGGCCCAGCCAAACCAGAAAGTGCAGCAGAAGAGCCCGTCCGCGGCTCGGTACCAGGAGGAGGTCGTGCAGATCAAGAGGTTAAAGTGCAAAACGTGGCTGAGCGCCTTTGTAATCTTTTGTCATATCTCTTTGGCCAGACCACGCGGGGCAACTCCCACCTCAGACATCCACATCTTTTGAATGTTTTCAGGTTTGCGATTGTACATGTGTTTGAGCATGTTTGAGCAATTCTTCCCCGTTTTTGCATGAGAGATCCATAACACTTATGCATGGTGATGTATGTAGCTGAGCAGGCTGTTGAGCTGAGTGACGTGGCACTGGCAGAGATGCTCTCACGAGCATGGCAGGACATGCGTAAGTGAACTTTACAACTCGGGGCCTTCCAGCATGCAAGATCTGCAAGATCTGCAAGTGCTGCTGACTGGCCGCAAGGATGAAGCGCAGAATGCTCGGCCGAGAGTGGGACAGCAGCTAAGAGCAGAGAAGCTCATTGAATTGGGAGTGGCTCGGCTCCAGATCTTGTGTCCTAGAGGCCTTTTCTCGGCCCTAAGAAACGCAAGGCTGCTTTTGAGCGCCAGCCAGATGGTAGCGACACTTGCGCCATTCATGGCAGCTTGGCTGAATCGATTGTCAGTCAAGCTAAGCTTCCAGCCATCTAAGTTGAGGCCTGAATAACTTGCTGCAGCCGAAGCGCAGCTCAAAGGAAGCTGCCCTAAAGTTTCAAGAAGCCATGGACGCCGCTTTGAAGGCGGGCACGTCACTTCAAGACGGTTGTGGTCTTTTTTAGAGCGGCATGCCAGGACGAGCAGAACCCTGAGGCCGATCTCGGAATCCGATAATCCGAGGCTCGAGGCCACCGGCTCGAGGCCGGCGCCAGGAGCGGTCCACAGCTGGCCTGGTGGGGCCCTTCTCCTTGGCCACGTTGCAGGCCGCAGACGCCGAGTCCCGCGCTGAGGACAAGCGCACGATCTCCCCAAATCCGGGGCAGTGAGGCTGTACGGCAAATACTTTTTCGGCTTTGCCTTTGGCAAAAGAACGCCTTATGAACTGTTGGCCGAGTGCCAAGCGGAGGAGATGGCATGCCGTGGCTTTGTGCCACCTCGTGCAGCTCAGCTTTCACTGCTTCGTCAAGACAGCGGCTTTCATAGCAGCCGCGGATTGCGGCTCAGCAGATCAAGATGAGAAAGATGAGAATGATGTGACAGATGACAATGGCACCGAGCACCAAGCTGCAAAGAGATGGCATTTCAGACATTTCTTTGTTTTCCGAGGCAGCGCACCGGGATGTTCGATGTAGAGGCCATCAAGATCGCAGCAAGATTAAAGGGCTTCGAGGCTTGGTGGGACGCACTTCGTGCGCGGCTGGACACGTGAGAGAAATGACAGCGTGGATTCCCACGCTGCTGAGCAGCCGGATTCTCCATGTGTCGCCATCGCCAAGGTCGTTGATGTCGAGCCAAAGCCTTCGTGGCACGAGTCAGACGTCTCCAAATTCGCGGCATTGGGTGCCAACTCTGACTGGTTCCGCGGGTTCCTGGTGTACGAACGCATGCCTGGCAGTCGTTTGGATCGCACTTCAGAATACTTGAATCGCGGATCGCATTGCTGTGGATTGTACAGGAAAGGGGCCCCAAGCCAGGACACTATGGTGGTCAAACACCCCCAACGAAAGTTGCATTGTTGCGCTATGTTGCGCTAAGTGCTACTTTGAGCCGACATGACGGCGAAAATAAGCGCGGAAAACAATATCAATTCGGGCTGAAGAGCAAGATCCCGTAAGGCGAACAGTGAGCGAAGACAAGCATGTTGGCAAAGACGAGAACCAATTTCGCAACGGGAAGGTCTAAGGGTGCACGAGGGTAAATACTGTCCAAGGGGTGGAGACGATTCTGGGTCGTCAGTGTCAGACTCATGGACAATCGATTTCTTAACTTCAATTTCCACGTGAAAGCAGGTGTTGTGTTGGATCCCTCAAACTCTTAGCAATTTCTTAAGCTTACGACACGATAGCCGCAGGGCTTGGGCCCAGAGGTTTCCTATTCGGTGCCTAAGAATTTGCCGAATTCGAGGGTTTCTTAAGGAAAGACGATTTGTGCCGCTTCCAGCCACAAAGATTTTGGGGCCTGGAGACGGAGCCAATTCTCGACGACTCGGGCAGTGCAACATGGTTGAAGCTCCGGCTCTTCCTCAATTTCTTATATTTTCTTATCCAGTTTCTTAAACAAGACTGTCACGTTGATGTGATTTGAGCAGTCGATGGCCGGGATCGATTTCTTGCCAGAGGAGCTATGCACTACTACTCCATCCTATACTGGCCGCACGGGGGATCTCACTGGATGATCCTCGACTCCTTTGATCGAGGACTCGATGTGTCACAAGATGTTCTCGGTACGCCGCGTTACGCCTCTTGCAACTGCCTTGCCAGGAGACGAATCCCCGAGAAATCGGCTGCTGACGCTGGAGGAAGTGGTTTCCTTGCATGACCAGCAGCTTGCCGGCACTCCAAGTCGTTGCAAGATCTTCAAATTCTACAGAGAGATGCACATGAGAACGGTATGAGGAGCTCAGGAACGGTGAATTTTTCAGATCCTGGCTGCTGCGCTGGTATCCTGTTGTGGACAGGCCCATGTTTTGTATTGAAAAACACGACACACAGAGACACATTTTGCAAGTTCCTGTAGCAGGGCGGCGGCAATTCAAGGCCTTCGAGATGCGGTTCACGTCGGCCTTTCCCAGGCCCGTGACTTTTTGAAGCATTGCCTGTGCCCTGAGCGGACTGTAGGTGGAGCTCGAAGAAGAGAGGCTTGAGATTTCAAGAGTATGCAGTGAAGGGTTTGTTACCGGCAAGTCGGGGGGTGTCAGCTTCGGCATTCTCTGTGTTTGCAATTTCTCACTATGTCTCACTTCGCATTCTTTTTCACCATTGGCCTTGTGCGGTGTGGTGCTGAGGGCACTCAGCGAAGCACGTGCGGAAGTGGAGTTGGATGCCAGCCGATGGAATGTGGCTGATGCTGCGGCGAGGCTGCTCCAATATCCGAGGCCGAGAGGGTGGGAGGGTGGGAGGGTGGGAGGGGAGGGGAGGGCGACATTCGACCAACACGTATGGCAAGGCGGAAGCAAGGCGGAAGCAAGGCGGAAGCAAGGCGGAAAGGTAAGACGTGTGACGATTGGGAGATGGAAAGAGGCTGACCGCTATGAGAAATGGTTGAAACCATATCGAGAGGGAGAGAGAGGGGAGCGGTGAGCAGGCGAGAAATGGGGGGCACCTGGTGTGTTGTTACTGAAATTCAGCAAATGAGAAATGAGAAATGAGAAAAAACAGAAGCAAGAAGAATAAGCAGACATAAGCAGACTAATTAGGTAATGTGAAGAAGAAAGAACGCAATGATGACACAATGTATAGTTGAGTTCGCATTTCGCCGCGGTACATTCCGAGGCAGGTGACCCGCGAGCTGCAGGTTTTGCAGCTTGTCGTGTCTGAGCAGCAGGCGGGTGGCTGGCGTCGGTTCCCGCCCGTGGAAGGCAAAGTGTTGCCCCAGAAAAAGCAGAGGTAAGGAGGTAAGGAGGGCACACGAAGGAACACGTACAGTCCTTGTGCAAACTGCGCAAGCGCTGCGCAAGTGGACCTGTGCAAGTAGTCGCTGTGGGAATATAATTAGCCGCCATAGCCCGCTCCTTTTTGCAAAGAAGCCTTCCCTGATGCAGTCAACAAAGCGTTGCGCTTATGAACCATGTCTTGAGCAGCTTCTGAGAATGTGGTGTGATAAACTAGGGACATGTGCCATCTCTCGAACTCATGTAATGTGTGAAGTTCAAAGCCTACGAAGATCACTGAAAGAGGGGTTGGTGCATTGCCCAACTGCATGAACGCCTGTAACACGATAAGGAGCCCCAAAGCCGATCACCCTTCAATTGACCATATTGTGAGCAACAGGCAAGACTCTCAGCGCTTGCTATGAACAGGGGAACAAGGTAGAGCTGAACCAAGCGACATCAGGAAACCCAAGTTAGAACTTTGGAAGCGCACTTGGGGTACGACTTCCGTACTGGGAAGCTGCGACCGTGTTGCGGGTGTGTGGAAGCGCTGTAGAACGATCGTTTGACGCTAAGGCTAAACACAACAATTACCAAGGCCAAGCAACAGGTTTTGAACATCTTAGCCCTTGAACCGCGCCCGTGAGTGATCGCTTTCAGGATCGGCATCTCGTTTCTGCGGAAGTTTTTGGAGAGCCCGGCCCAATGTCCTGGGAGGCCCGGGCTTCGCTGGAAGACTCAGAGTGGAACTTCACCCAAGCTGTGGAGCACCTCTCAAACCTGGTGCTGCAGCGTGTCAAGGATGTCAAGGCAACGCGCGCCAAGCCGCTGTGTGGGCACTACACCTGACCTAACTTGTATACACTGCCCGTCAGAGAAAAGGATTGGCATGGGTGCTTCTCTGCGAAAGACCAAGGAAGTTCGTAGGCTGATCAGCAGCACATTGATTTGGCACTGTGCACATTCTGGGTCTCACATGGGGAATCTTTGGCTTTTAAAGGATCCTTTGGTGGCTTTGCAGCGAAGCCTGTGACCGCAGAAGTCTTAGAAAACGCTTTTCCGGAAGGCAGAATTTGTGGACCAGGAACATGAGAGGCACGGGAAGGGCTCTTCGATGCCCCTTGCACATCGAAGTTTCCCGAGGCTTGCAGCAGATGCCTATGCTGCCTTGTCGTTGCGGATGCCTTGGTGGGCGAACGTTGGTCGCTGAAAGTGGGTATCTGAGGACTGACTGGGATGTGCGGACTGCCGCCCAGCTGCTCTTGCTCAGAGAAAAAAGTAAAGTCTCCTTCAAAGCTGCGGCGACCGCCCTCACCGAGACCAACTCACTACAACAGCCAGGCACCCAAGCTGAGTGCAGTCATGACCTTTGCATTGACCCATTCTGGCAGTTTGAACTTCAGGGGCATAAGTTTAGGGTTTCCTGGTGTGGGCGTCCTCAAAATCCCTTGGCTTGTCAGGGCATTGCTGGTTTTGCAATTGCTGGCTGAAGTGGACATTGAAGATGCTGAGATCGATGAGGTGCCCTCAAAACCGGGTTTTGCAAAACCAAGTTGGACCACGCAGGTCTACGCAGCCAGCCTTCTTCGCTACGCCGAAGATGTCAGCACAGCGAGGCATGAAGCAGGAATGGTGTAGACGCGTGAGATGTTTTTGTCTTTTTTCTGCCAGGCAGCTTGCCCACGTGTGCCATCAATTTCCCAGTGTCCCCTTGGCATTGTGTGCAGAGGACGGGGGAGAGACTCAAACATACGAAGCCTGACGGCGCATGTGACACTTCATGTTCCGCTGCCACGGTGAACCTTGCAAGGCTCTGCGGAGGGGCGAAAGTCAGGCCGCTGCATGCATGATGCTCCAAGACTTTCAGGACACGACCAGAGCTGTAGAGATACGAGACCAGCCAACGATAAAATGAGACGTAAGGCCTGACGGTAAGGCCAGACGATAAGACCAGATCAAGGCCACATCTGGAAAAATGAGTCAGGACCAGGTGTGCAGAGTGGTCAGTGCACTTGCCCAGAGGGCCTCCAATGGCCAAGGACAGCTTGCGGTGTGAAAATTTCATTTCGTTTCATTCCGTTTCGAGCAAGGCGAGGCTTTGGGGCCGCAGGAGTGCTTGGACATTGCCAGGTCAGGGAGCGCTGAGTGGCCGCATGACGCTTGCTTGACTTGACGGCTGGAGCTTGCGGCACTGGTGCCAGTGGTGCAGGCTGGCTTTGGAAGCAGCCGAATGGAGCCCTGACAACGCCTTCATTCTGGCGGAAAGCTACGCCCTCGGGGTGCTACAGGCAGAGCCAGAATGGAGTGCGGCGATTCGCTGGACATGGACATTTGACATTTGAGTTCATCAAGCTGAGCCCTTCGCAGGTGCGCAAAGAGCTAGGGCTTCTGCAGAAGAGCCAGGCCTTCGCTGTCCAACAGGAGCACCGAACACCGCGCAAATTAGGTCGAGATGGCGTTAGATGTTGGACGTATTTGGATGTGGCCTTTGGATGCATTGGCACGGTCAAGTGCGGTCAGGAGAAGGAGGAGAGCAAGCTGGCCACAGCGCTTTCAGCGCTGGATGCCGTGAACGAGTTGCAGACTTTGCCGCCAAGAACTTTGCTCGCCCACCTGCAGGACGTATCGCGCGCAACGCATGTCACTGCATGTTCTTGTACATGTTATTCTTCGCAGGACTGTGACATGAATCCTGCCAAAGCAGTGGCGCAGCTTTGGAGCCAGCAAACTGGCGAACAAGGCGCTTTGGTGGCATGTCACTAGTTTGGGAACCTTTGACCGCTTGCGTTCTGGCCAGCCGGCATGCAGCATGCCAGCTTGAGGCATTCCGCGAAAGCCCGCCTTGCCGAAACCGCCTGGCCGTGGGGCAAGGTCTACCACACCGAACAAGAAGGGCCGGGACTCGAGAGACCGGGAGAAGCGCAAAGACTGCGTGACCATGTGAGCGCGTCCTACACGCCTGTGACCTTTTACCGACAAAAAAGCACTCCATGAAATTGCGGCGCCAGTGGAACTTGCATTTTGTGTTAGGATAGTTGAGGGGGTCGGATGTTGACTGGGGCTCAGAAAGATTGCAAGTGCCGAGCATTGCGGCCTCCAACAGCAAAGCCTGTCGGCCCCCTGACAGGTGCTGCATCGTGCTGCTAAAAGAGTTGCAAGGCCCCTAGCAATGTTTGCCTCAATCTCCTCAACCCCCAGGCACACATGCTCCACAGGCAAACCCTTGAACTTGGGGATTGGGAGCTTTTTTCCACCGCCACCTCGCATGCAAGCAAGCAGGCAAGCCAGCCAGCAAGCAAGCCAGCCAGCCACAGCCAGCCAGCCAGCAAGCCAAAGAGCAAGCAAGCGAGCGCCCGCGCGCGCGACGCAGGCAAGCATGCATGCACGCACCCACCGCAAACCCGCCCTAAACCACCCTGAGCCCACCCTAACTAAGCCCACCCAAAACCCACACCCATGAGCCACCCTAGACCACCCTCAACCAACGCTTCTCCAGACATCTGGCAGAGTGTTTCGTCACAGCAAGGCGGCGTCGTTGCGCACACGGGCACTCCCGGCAGCGCTGCACTGGGATGAGCATCAATCAAATTGTTTTAAAGGATCAAACAATTCAGGGCCCAAGGCCCCCTTCTGGTCTCCTCGTCTCCTGGTCCCCTGGCCCCAGTCTCCTGGTCTCCCTTGGTCTCCCTTGGTCTCCCTTGGTCGCCCTCAACCGACAGACCAACCCTAAGCTGGCCCCAAATCACCATAAGCCTAACCTAAACCAACCCGCTGGTCCGACTTTTATCGCAGCTATGCCCTGCTGCAGTTTTGCATAAATCAATCGCATGTGGCTACAAAGCAAAAGGAAGTGAGACAACCAGAGAAGACCATGCAACTCAAACGGAAAAGGGCAAAGGGTGAGGAAAAGGATATGGAGGCTTTTGTCATGAAAGGCTGCTTCGGCCAAATCGCAGCCACAACAACGAACATGTCGCAAATGCGGTAAGTAAACTCCTTTGCTCCATCGACGACTGATCACCAAGGCAGCCGTACTAGCAGGCGGCCAAAGACACCAAGCGGAGAAAGCAATCGACATTTGTGCTTCTGGCGCTTTCAGCGGCTCAGAACTCCAATCTTTGCATGCTGCTCTGTGCTGCGGCTTTGGCGCCATGCTGGTCGAGCAAGACTTGGTGAAGGCTTGCTAGTTTTCAGCCGTCGTAGCAGTGGCTTCCTGAAGCGCGTTTGGTATCCTGGGCGCAGGCGCTGCGAGATGAGCTCTTGCAGGTGACGCGGCACTGGTCGCCAGGTATCACGTGTTCCAATTCCAGCTGTGTCAGGAGTGGCGCCAGTTTTGCGAAGATCTGCTTCGAGAGATCCGGGAACTAGTTCCGAGCCAGAGTTTCGTTTGGTACGCAGGCTGGCTTCACTTTAGGCTTACTGAGTCTCGAAGTATTCTGGCAGGGCCTTCCTTCCACTCCACGGAAGCCGGCTGGGAAGGCAGGCAACATCTTGGGTAGACGGGGGGGGGTTTGCCCAGGCCCACACTGTCTGGTCTGGGGTTGGGGGGGTCTGGGGGGGGGGGTCTGGGGGGGGGTGGTTCCGTTCGGATTGCACTGAGTTAACATGACACGCCAGCTCACGTACCTCTCTGTGCTTCCCGGCAGCCGTTAGCCTCATGCTGTCTCTGCCTTGTCTCTTTGCTCTCTCCTTTGTCTTCGTCTTGCTGGCTTTTCGTCTGCGCCTGCTTCGCTTCAGGATCTGTCCTGCTTTTTCGCGTTTCCTTTGCCCTACTTGGACAACCTTCACTTCGCTCAGTGCCTGCCAGGCGCGGACAATTTCTTGGACTTTGCAGGGCGAACATCCTTGCTTGAAGATAGGTACCCGTTGCGGTTTGCTGTCTTGGGGCCTCATCTGGTGCCCTTGTGCGCTGTCTGGACCTGCGTTCCGCAAGCACATTTGCTTCGTCGGGCCCCTACTTCCACGCACTTCTGCTTCTCCTTGCTTGCGGCTCAGTTCGTGCTTGCCGCCCAATTTTTCCACGCGGCGCCCGGTCTGCAGCCTCTGGTTCAGGCATTTAAAGAATACCTGGGCCACATTACTGACCGCATTAACCCACAAGACGCGTTCAAAGATACCTCTTGGCTAGTTTTTTCGACCCCAAGCAGAAACGTGAAAATCAGCAATCCCTTGCGCCTGTCAGCCGCGCGTACTCTTACCTGCGTGTCGGAGTACGCGGATTTTCAACATGATCTGTGGCTTGTCAACTCAGGGAAACCTAGAACGCACTGCAAAAACCAGTGCAAAACGACATTGCCCTTTTTCAGTCCCGTCAAATGACATTGCGGGTCCGGGCAAACCCCCCCCGTCTACCCAACATCTTGCGCGCCGCTCTGCCTACATGCAGCTGCTGCGAGGAGGTCTTGTTTGCTCCTGAGAAAGCAACCTTTGCCCAAACTTGTTTTCTTGTGTTCCTGCACTTGACCACGTGTGCGATGCCAGGCTTCCCCTCCGGAAAGGTCGTTTGCCGAGGTGGGACATGGTGGGGCGTGGTTTGCGTGTGCCCTTTGTTTGGCGTGTCAAGCAGGCAGATGGTGATGCAGTCAGCTCGGCAAAGGAAGGTGTGGACCTCACGCAGTTGCACGCCTGGTTTTTGAACCAACCTGCGCAGTCCATGGTTCTTTTGCAAAACCAAGGTGCCCTTGCTTCAGAAAGAAGGCAGTGCCGCCGTCGGAAGGCGAGGCTTCAGCGTTGTGTTGAAGCTCGGCGTTTGTCGATCAGCTGCGTAGGCAAAGATTTATTCGTATCAGCTGGACGAGGAGTCGGCCTTTTGCCATGGACTTATGGAGCTTGCCTCTCTCCCCTGCAAGGAGTTGGCTGCAAGGCCTGTGGCCGGCGAGCTTGCTCATTCTGGCTGCCCTCAAAGTGCACGCCGGCTGCCCTCAAAGTGCACGCCGGCTGCCCGCCTACTGCAATCAAGGTTGCAGGGCTTCGGCAGAGAACGCGAGTACGACCAAATCGAGTCCCAACCATCACAGGTAGCTGAGGCGACTGTGCTTATAACTCTTAACCCTTAAAACTATGCGATCGCATATGTTTGTCATCATGCCCCGCACCAGTGTTAGTTGCTTATAGGTGATATTTATGATATGATAGTAACGCATTTCTGAATCATATGGAGGTCACCCAAAAAACCCGCCTATTCTACCAGATTGACCGTTTCCAAAGAGTGTATATCTTGGCTTCTGTTTCTTCCCGAGGTGAGCAAGTTCTCCTCAGCCACGCAGACACGCAGACACGGAGACACGGAGACACAGAGTCGCAGAGACAGAGACACGGAGACAGATACACAGACACAGACAACCAGACACGCAGACACGCAGACACGCAGACACGCAGTCACGCAGTCACGCAGACACGCAGACGCACAAACATAATAGGCATCTTTGCGGTCATGTTGAGTTTCGCCCAAACTTGGGGCACGCCTCTCATGCAACCAGCCCCTCAAAGCTTTGGTGTTTCTCTTTGCGGTGACCAAATATGCCCAGCAAGAACAGAATGTTGAACTTCAAAGGCGCTGGCATACTTGGCTCCAAAGTGCGCTAAGGGAAGCTTCTCTGACAACTTGGAACCAGTAAGGCAGTTTGGCCTGTAGGGTATCTATGCATGTCTTAGCTGCGCCACATTCGTGTTTTTCGCACTACACGGTTTGGCCCTGCCTCGAGCCGTTGAATATCTTGGCGGGTGCGAGTTGGTCGTGAAGCCGCGGGCCCTCGCGTCAGGACTTGAATGCAAACCAGGCGCGTCAGCAATTGCGCTCACAGCACAGTTGTGTTTGGCAGGGATACTGGTCCCAATGGACGGTGCTGCTGCAGGCAGACACCATGGACATTCTGGGGCCTTCCCTTCTTGAGATGCTTCGAGCATCTTGGACGGCAAGTCTACCGCCTGAAGTTTACAATCTGAGCGGGTCTTAGGTGCCGGAGATCTTACAGCTTCAAAAAGTGCGGAAGGTAGAGGGAGAGGTAGGGGCTTCAGCGACTTTGAAAGGTTTTGAAAGAGTTTTTCTGCCTTACCAACGCAGGTGAGGCAGCATTTTGCAGCGAGTGCGAGATTGGGAAGGCCTGTTGCGGTCCGTATCCGGCCTGTGATCGGTGTCCAACATTATCGAGCAGTTCGAGAAGGCCAACGCGCTGCCCGTAGAAGAGAGGAACTACGATCAGGTCTGGCAACGACTGCGAGATGACCCAGAATTGGAGAAATCGTACCGTTGCTGCCTGGCGTTGCAGTTCCGAGTTGTTTTTGCGTTCCGGCTTAAAAGTGCCAGAGTGATGCGAAGTGTGGTCCAAATCAGAGGCCATTCATACCCATGAGGTGGCAGGGCACCAAGCCAAGGCTTCTGCTGGTGTGTCCGACAAACACGAGACGGGGGCCAACGCCAGAAAGATCTGGAATGCGTCCCCCGAGCAGCTGGCGGCTTGGTGGAAGTCTGCTATGATTCAACGCAATCGCGGCAAGCTGCGCTCCACTTGATGATGAAATTGGGATTCAGCGGCTGCAAGGCTATTCAGCGCCAGATGGCTGAGGCATTGCCAAGCATTTTGGAGTTCATGCTGAGCGCGGGCGACGTCGGTTGGGAAGGGGCATTGCAACACGTTATCTATTGCCATCGTCTGTTGGGGCAAGAGTTGCGGAAGAGGTGCATTGAGGTTGTGGTGGAAATCGTCATCCACAAAGATGATGCTTCTGCAATTGATCACCAGCTGCACAAGCTGGAGCTCTGACCAGCGGCCTGTGCTATCCGTCCAGAGACCAACTACCAGCGTTTTGCAAGCGGGACGATTTCGTTTGCTCGGCAGCTCTGCCAGTGCAAGACGGCGTGGGTCGCTTCCTCTGGCACTACCTTGACATGATTCGATTCCCTCTTATTATTCCGATTGACTGGCACTACATCAGGTAAAGGCAGGACTTATCCAATTTGACATTTGAGTTCATTCCGGAAAGCTCGATTTGTAGCTAGGGCCAGGCCTTCGCTGTCCAGCAGGAGCACAGAACACCGCGCAAATCAGGTCGAGATGGCGTTGGATGTGCGTGGAAGTATTTGGATGTGGCTTTTGGTGGATGCTGTAGACGAGAGCAAGGTGGACGCTGCAGACTTTGCCGCCAAGACCTTCCGCGCGGACACGCGGTTGTGCAGGCTCATGGCTTGATGGCCATTCACAGAGTGGTGGCAAAACCGTGTGGCGTGCGTGCGGGCGTGGGAGTGGGAGTGGGCGTGGGTGTGGGTGTGGGTGTGTGTGGGTGTGTGCGCGTGCGCGTGCGAGTGCACGTGCACCTGCGCGTTCTGTGCGTCCGTCCGTCCGTCCGTGGGTGGGTGGGTGGGTGGGTGATTTAGTGGGTGTGTTTGTGCGCAAGCGTGGCGTGTGCGATTGCTGCTTGCCCATGGATACTTTGAGCTTTGGGGTTCGCAGCAGGGTGTGCGTGCTGGCCTCCTGTTGCCGTTTTGTCTCAAAATCAAGGACTGATGATCAATTCACCCCACATCCAGGCCTTCCTTTACGGGTTCACGCATTCAGCCTTGGAACAAATCCTTGTAGTGGTTGGATTCCTTCCTTGCAGGTACTTCACCTTTGGGCTTCCCCATTTGGGCGTTATAGAGACTCAAAAAGGTGTTGGTTTGCAATCTTGCCCATGACAGAGGCTGCTTGCACAGGGAGCTGTTAGTGTCGGCCAGTGAATATTGTACTTCACCCATTATCACGAAAGCTAGCTTGCTAGCTGCTATCCGTCTTGTTTTAGCAAGTGCTAGGGCCAATGAAGTACTTACTCACATGCACGCCAAAGCTCAAGAGAGAAGAATATGCCAGATGAAAGTTTGGTCATGCATCGTGGGCAGCGCACTGCTGATTGCAGCTGCTGGGCTGTTTACAGCATCTTGGTGTGGCATTGAGTCAAAACCGAACATGGGCTGTAAGATACTGTAAGATACTGGAAGATTCTGCGAGACTTTATGGGACTCCATGACTTGAGGCGATATATCTCGTGTCAGCCTCTTAGACCTGGCAACTGACAATCTGGGCCTCATGCACAGGGTTGGTTGTTGCCACTGATCCAGGTTGGGAGTTGAGGGAGAAGCTGAAACGTGGCAAGTGGCGATGGCACTGATAGTGACTGCCCGTTCCCTGCAAATGTTTGATTCGTCAATGAGCAGGAGATCGGATGGGTTGTAAAAAGCCTCAGTTGACGCAGGACCTGCGTTCCCTGCTGTGCGGTCGCTGGATGTGTGGCGATTCTTTCGGCTTTGCTTGAGCTTGAGCTCACGCCGAAGGCTGGAAGCGGCGTTTCAAAGGTGCAGTGGACATGATAGCTTTTGAAGGCTTGGCAGTTGCATTTCAAGCCTGAGGCATTTGCTTGCGACATGATGCTCCTTGTCCTTAGGGATGCAAAGGCAATGCAAAGGCAATGCAAAGCTTGCAAATTTGCTACGCTATGCGCTATGCTACGCTTTGCGCTTTGCTGCGCTTTGCTGCGCGCGCTCGATCTGAGGCCAGAGGATTTGAAGGACACTGTGTGACGGGTGGAATGAGTCGCTCGATGCGCTCCAGCCACATCCAGATCTCGGTTTCGGCCTTCCAAGCCGCCTTCCAAGCGCGCCGGCGCCGTTTGGGCGGTGTCGGCTAGCGCAGCAGCTGGCATCGCTTCACGACTTCAGTCGTTACGGGAGATGGCGTCGCAGAAAAGAGGCCAGGGCGTTGCCAACCTGCCGAGTCAGCCATGTTCCTGGAGCAGGGCAACACTCCTTCGATGGGTGCGAGTTTGGATCCATGTATGCATGAGCAGGTTCTTTGGATCAAGTGCTGCGACGGAGAGCATGCCCACTTGCAAGAGCTTGGCTCGCTGCAACGTTTGCCTTTTTTGCCTTTCGAGACAGACAAGTTCAGCTTGAGCTGGCTGCTTGCGATATGGGTGCTTGACATGGACAAGAAGGTGGCGCCTCGAATTGCTGAGAACTTGCCTGATGCATTTTGCAGGTTGCAAAGCGGCTGGCCCGGATTGAGGTGCTGGGAAGGTCATGCAATAGGTCCGATCGGCTCCGACAGGCATCTCTGACATCCTCAAGTGAGACGCCGGCAGCCTTCTTTGCAGAGGCTGCTTCAGGGGCAGGGCCCTGAGTCCCATGGAGAACCACGACTGCCAGAGAGTCGCTAAGGCTGCACGCATAGCCTGCGATGCGCCTGGAATTAACGACCGTCGCGCTGCCAGCCGTGCGCTTTTGGCATCCCTGCCATGTGGTGCGAGCAACACCCCCCTTTGTGTTGGCGTACCTCCCCAGCATGCGACTGACTGTCTCCTGACCTGTCTCCTGACCTGTCTCCTGACCTTTTGTGGCAGGCCGCGGCAGCCAAATCTGAGAACGCGCTGCACGCCAGGATGGCTGCCTTGGAGGTGCCATGTCGGATCTGTTGCAGATGTTGGGGAGAAACAAGCCTTGGCAAGACGCGGCCGGCTTGCGCTTTTCATCTCCGATAGCCATGTCCGACTTCGGCGAATGCGGACTTCATGTTTCACCTCTCGGACCAGAGGCCCTCGTCGAGGTCTCGGCAGACGTGGGTGGCTTCCAGGCTCAGTTTAGAGAGCGAGGGAGTCCGACCAAAACTGCCAGGGAATAAGAGTATGGCGGGGTATCAACGGAGTTCAGCGGGGTATAAGATGTATAAGGATGTCCGAATTGGCAGGACGTCTTGAGCCTCGAGGTGGCATGGCCCAGTCCTCTGAGGCCCGAGGCGATTCGGCGGTTCGGCGGTTTCGACTTGCGAGCTCAGGCGCTGCATTGCGGAGGGCGGCGTCCGATTTCGTCTGCCCGCGGATCTAGGGCCAAGGCTCGGTGTCAGCCTCTCTGAACCCCAAGTCTCGCTGTCGAGGCTCATAGACGTGGCCGGTGCGGAGGAAGTTTGCTCAGCCTTCTGTGAAGCAGCCAAGACGACCCCAGGCAGGGAACCAAGGACCAGGGACAGAGCGAGCCAGTCATACATGAGAGACTTAGAGTGAGATTTGCCAAAAGAGAAACAGTCTGTGAATCTGCAGAGAAGTTTTATTTGTTGCGAGGCCTGTGGTCTGCCTCCCAGCTGCTGGAGACAGCGCTGGAGCGTGGAAGTGCCTCTTGTGCGCTCTCTGCCTGGCCCACAGCCTGCGATGGACAGGGTAAGAAGACAATGACGCCACATGTTTCGTCGCTGTCACATTGACAAGTGAACATGTCATGCGCGTCGCAAGTAAAAGAAGTACCCGCGAGGAATATTTGCTGTATACCTGCTCCACAACCTTCTCTGGTGAGGAATGCTGAGCAAGCAACCTACTTGATCCGTATTTCCCCATATGCTACTGCATGCTTCATTTTATATCCGGTCCTGTTCTCCATTCCATGGCCGCTTGCATTCCTGTTCTATGCATTGCTGCTGCTGCATGTCCTCTTCGCGAAAGGAGTATCATGCCTGTACTATGACGCTTGCTCTGACAGCTATCAGCTGTGTAAGCCTGCAGCTCTGAACAATGATTGGCACAACGTGTCCACCCGACTGCAGCCCAATCATGCTGACGGGCACCACAGGCAGCTTCAGAAATCAACACGCATCAGCTCAACGATCCGACTCACGAGTGTCTTTCCACATAGTTGTCAGGTTTGTCACATGTACCGTGCATTCCGAGCTACTCCAAAGTAAAACTGGGTACAAAAGTCAGCATGACGAACATTGAACCTTTGAATGCGGAATGACATTGCAACCGCTCATGGTCACTTGCCGTGCCTCAGGCTATTTCTTACAACGCTGAGTTTGTGAGGCCTGGACGCATTGAGACAGTGGCACCAGTATGTGCCAGCGCATGCAAGCCTACTACTGATGGCTTTGTTCTAGCAAGTTGCTGGGGATGAACCTGGAGTTTTATTTGGCCTGCAGGCCTTTGCTAGTCAAGGTGGCAGGGCGTGCTGCAGAGCCACTTGCGTTTGTAGCCATGACCTCGAGACACAAAGCTTGAGAAAGAATCCGGATAAGGAATTGTTTAGATTGGCGCTGTTTGTATTCCGAGAGTTCGATTGAGGACTTGTACCTTCTTGGGCTTTCTGAAGATGACGCTGACTCCGTCTGCGAGCTCTCCGTTGTGGTGTTGGGCGAAGCGCTACGACGGCGCTTAGTCCAGGAAGAGGCAAGGGGCAACGTGTGGCGGACATGGACTTCAGGTACACTTGCAGGCTATAAGATGATGCTACAAGAGATCACGTGCATTGCTCTGATCCAATGCCAGGTGTCCTTGAGGCGTGCACACGAACTCTTGCCAGGTGGGACCATACCTCTCACGACTCAATCGGCTTTCCTGGGCTTGGCCAGATGCATCCTATGCTGGGAGCTTGGCAGTGTCGAGCGGCTCGGTTTTGCACGGACTTAGAATACTTATGGACACTGCTCTCGCTCGCTGCATGGCTCGGCAAATATATCGATTATCAATGTATTGTGTTTCGTATCGCGTCTCGCGCCCAGGGCGTTTTTGGCTTGGAGACTGCAGTGGCAGCTCTTCTTTGGACGGCCGCATTCTTGGCTAGATGTGCTGATTCTCACGGACCGGATTGATTTGTTTGTGGCGGCAGGCCACTGGCAAAGAAGTCAGCACATTGCTGTCGCTTCCTATCCAAGGACTCCAAGGACATGAACTGTCCAGCCAATTTGCAAGTCCTCTCGACAGGAGCACCTTCAGGGCACCTCTTGGCAGCGGCCAGGAGCGCTTTGAGCAGTTGCATGCAGTTGCTCAGTGACTGCTTTGTTTTCAGTTGACTGCTTCGTTTAGGTTAATGGCTTTGTTTACACTTGACTGCTTTGTTTTCAATCTTCAATCTGCCTTCAGAGTCTCAGGATGCTCGCGGGCACATTGCCTGCTGGGCCAGCACAGCGCGCAGCGGAGACCTTTTGCACAAGGCAGGGCTTTGTGCCGGGACCCAGGAGCATCATGAGCAGCAGTCAAGTGTAAACAAAGCAGTCAAGTGTAAACAAAGCAGTCAAGTGTAAATAAAGCAGTCAAGTGTAAATAAAGCCATTAACCTAAACGGAGCAGTCAACTGAAAACAAAGCAGTCAACTGAAAACAAAGCAGTCAAGTGTAAACAAAGCAGTCAAGTGTAAATAAAGCAGTCAAGTGTAAATAAAGCCGTTAACCCAAACGAAGCAGTCAACTGAAAACAAAGCAGTCAAGTGTAAACAAAGCAGTCAAGTGTAAACAAAGCAGTCAAGTGTAAATAAAGCAGTCAAGTGTAAATAAAGCCGTTGACCTAAACGAAGCAGTCAACTGAAAACAAAGCAGGCAACTGAAAACAAAGCAGTCAAGTGTAAACAAAGCAGTCAAGTGTATACAAAGCAGTCAAGTGTAAACAAAGCAGTCAAGTGTAAATAAAGCAGTCAAGTGTAAATAAAGCCGTTAACCTAAACGAAGCAGTCAAGTGTAAACAAAGCAGTCAAGTGTAAACAAAGCAGTCAAGTGTAAACAAAGCAATCAAGTGTAAATAAAGCCGTTAACCTAAACGAAGCAGTCAACTGAAAACAAAGCAGTCAAGTGTAAACAAAGAAGTCAAGTGTAAACAATGCAGTCAAGTGTAAACAAAGCAGTCAAGTGTAAACAAAGCAGTCAAGTGTAAACAAAGCAGTCAAGTGTAAACAAAGCAGTCAAGTGTAAACAAAGCAGTAAAGTGTAAACAAAGCAGTCAAGTGTAAACAAAGCAGTCAAGTGTAAACGAAGCAGTCAAGTGTAAACAAAGCAGTCAAGGGTAAACAAAGCAGTCAAGTGCAAACAAAGCAGTCAAGTGTAAATAAAGCCGTTGACCTAAACGAAGCAGTCAACTGAAAACAAAGCAGTCAACTGAAAACAAAGCAGTCAAGTGTAAACAAAGCAGCCAAGTGTAAACAAATCAGTCAAGTGTAAACAAAGCAGTCAAGTGTAAATACAGCAGTCAAGTGCAAGCAAAGCCGTTAACCTAAACGAAGCAGTCAAGTGTAAACAAAGCAGTCAAGTGTAAACAAAGCAGTCAAGTGCAAACAAAGCAGTCAAGTGTAAACAAAGCAGTCAAGTGTAAACAAAGCAGTCAAGTGTAAACAAAGCAGTCAAGTGTAAACAAAGCAGTCAAGTGTAAACAAAGCAGCCAAGTGTAAATAAAGCCATTAACCTAAACGGAGCAGTCAACTGAAAACAAAGCAGTGAACTGAAAACAAAGCAGTCAAGTGTAAACAAAGCAGTTAAGTGTAAAGAAAGCAGTCAAGTGTAAACAAAGCAGTCAAGTGTAAACAAAGCAGTCAAGTGTAAACAAAGCAGTCGAGTGTAAACAAAGCAGTCAAGTGTAAATAAAGCAGTCAAGTGTAGACAAAGCAGTCAAGTGTAAACAAAGCAGTCAAGTGTAAACAAAGCAGTCAAGTGTAAACAAAGCAGTCAAGTGTAAACAAAGCAGTCAAGTGTAAACAAAGCAGCCAAGTGTAAATAAAGCATTAAGCAAACGCAGTCAACAAAGCAGTAAACAAAGCAGTCAAGTGTAAATAAGCAGTCAAGTGTCAAGTGTAAACAAAGCAGTCAAGTGTAAACAAAGCAGTCAAGTGTAAACAAAGCAGTCAAGTGTAAACAAAGCAGTCAAGTGTAAACAAAGCAGTCAAGTGTAAACAAAGCAGTCAAGTGTCAAGTGTGTAAGCAGTCAAAGCAGTCAAGTGTAAAAAGCAGTCAAGTGTAAACAAAGCAGTCAAGTGTAAACAAAGCAGTCAAGTGTAAACAAAGCAGCCAAGTGTAAACAAAGCAGTCAAGTGTAAATAAAGCCGTTAACCTAAACGGAGCAGTCAACTGAAAACAAAGCAGTCAACTGAAAACAAAGCAGTCAAGAGCATGTGACATCAACATTTCTGGATCTGCTTCCGTGAGCCTCAAGCGCAATGAGATGGCTTGCATTTCTCTTCACCGCGCCTTTGCTGAAAAGAATGAGCTCTGACAGTGCAAACCAAACGCAGAGAGCAAATTGTTCCCCGGCATGTTCACTTGGTTTGCTCTCCCCTGTTATTGCTCGCTTTAATTGATATAGAGGCAGTGGACAACTCCTGGGCCCTCATTACTCGAGGCTGTTGAGCAGCTCAAGACAACGATGCCTTGAAGATCCTTGAAGCTGTGGAACGGCCCTACATCGCCTAACCATGCAAACGCTCCATTTCCGTGTCTTTTGAGGCCATTGCCAAGCTCACCAGTCGAGCCTCAAATTTCTCAAATGGTTTGTGAAGCTGAGGATGCCTTGGCCCAATGGACCGAAATTGCAGAGCCGCTGCGGTCTGCGCCTTTACAGCAGCACCTGAATTGGGATGGGCTGCTCTTCATGGCAGAGGCTCACAGTACAACTCACAGCAACGTGATCACGCAGATTACATGCGACGCGATGCGACGCGATGCGACGCGATGCGTGCTCTGCGTGTTCTGCGTGTTCTCTGCCAGGCAGGCGTACGCGAGAGCCTGGAAGTTCAGCTCCATGACTCCACGGATTTGTTTCGGAAGCTTCTACTAGACTCGCAAAGCAAAGTGGCGGCCTTGGAGAGGCGCGAGCATCTGAGACATCTGACACATTTGAGACATCTGAGTCTTGCCGAGGTTTGGGCTTCAGCCTCCATCCCTGATTTGCGGTGGCCTGGCAAATTGAGAGAACGAGTCATGTGGACTGCATGGACTGCATGGACTGCATGGACTGCATGGACTGCATGGACTGCATGGACTGCATGGACTTGTGATCCTGAGGATTCAGGTAAATCTGAGCCGTTGGCCCAATGGCGAGATGGTTTTGCGCCAAGCAATCGCTCCTGCATCGCTGAGCGATGTAGGACACAGAACAAATTGCCGGCGCTCGAGCCACAGCGTGCTGTTCTCGGCACTCAGCGCAATGCTAAGCCGTCAGGAGATGTGCTTGGCATGTTGCAGAGCCTCTACTTTACATTCGAGCAAGATTTCGCCGATGCGAAGACGAGCCTCAAGCTTCTTCAGAAGGAGTTGGAAAGCCAGCTACACCAGTTTGCCGTCAATCTGGGAATTGTCCTGCTCTTGGACCACACTGTCCATAATCCAAACAGTTGGTGAACTTTGATATGAAGTCATGACGAGTCATGATGTGATGTCATGTGAGCTGTGTCTTGCTACTTTAAGGTCCTGAGGCAGGCCAAGGACGCAATCTCAGTATTTCTGAAGCATGCAAGGCATGCCAGCAGCTTTGGAGTCTGATCGCTGAGGTGTTGCTGGGTCTCCTGCGTGGACTGCCGGGGTTTTCTGACTGCCTCTTCCAGGCTTTGGCGGAGGCCCGAGAAAGGCCTGGCCGGATGCTGTGGAGTTGGAGCAGTGATTTTGAAGAAGCTTTCCTCGTGGCATGTACAGCATGCGAGCCACTCAGGTAGCAAGGTCCTTTTTGGTACAGATGACCTGTCACACATTTGAGCAGCTCTAAAAACCCCGTTACATCCTTCCTTTGCAAGAGTTGTGTCATAACAAGGCGCCGCGTAAGCAAAACCCTGCACAGCCGGCGTAAGCACTTTTTGGGGAAACAAGCTGCGTAAGCACGTGCGTAAGCTCTTCTTCGTGATTGCTTGGTAAGCTTTGTAAGCGTGCTCGGAAGAGCTGTGCTTATGAGATTATTGGTGGCTTGTGCTGTTGCAACCTAGTCGAGCTTGGCAACTTGCCCGGAGACTTTGGCTGCAAGAAGTCGACTAAGACCGCTTGTGCACCTCAATAAGAAAGCAAAGCCAGCAGAGCCTTGATTGGGAGCTCTTGGGGCTCATGCTAGGTGCTGTTGCAACCTTGACTAGGACAAACAAAGGCTTCTGAAACCGCTGATCTAGGAAAACTAAAAGGGGCTCAGGCGCGTAAGCTCGCGTAAGCAGGCGCGTAAGGTTTGCGTAAGCTTGCCTAGCTGGGCTGCCCGCTAGCCCTCGCGATGGATGCCGCTGCCGAATAACCCGTTTCTTGACTTGCAGCAAGAACAACAATGCCAAGTCGCTGAGACTCGTGAGGGTAGTTCTTCGTCATCTTCTTCCTCAGAGTCTTGAACAGCTCTGGCGTCTGCATGAGAAAAGGAGCTCGCGTAAGCAATTCTTGAGGGGAAACGCTCAGAACGCCGCGTAAGCCATGCGTAAGCTTAACATGCTTGCTGACTGCCGCGTAAGCTAAAACATGGGTCGCGTAAGGAAAGCGCAAGCTCGCGCGTAAGCAACTTGATACGACATAGGGATTCATGGGAGGTTTATAGAGTCGCTCACTTGGTGACTGTTGTGACAATGTGTGACAATGGCGTGTTCGTCTTGTTTTGTCACACAAGACAAACACATGACAAATGACAAACACATCAAACACAAGGTGGGTCATAGGTGGGTCATTTGTTTGTCGTTTGTTTTCTCTCGTTTTCTTTGAGGCGGCCTCCGAGTTCGATGTACGCTGAAGCCTGGCTGTTTCTGCAGCGCATGGCTTCGGGGCAGCACGCGGCGACGAGCCTCCGGGTGCGCGCCGCCACCTTCGCAGGCGCGCGCTCCGGCGCCGGGCGTGTTTTGAATATCGAATGTATAAGGCGAATATATGAGTTATGAGTAATGTATGAGGGGAAGTAGGGGAATGCAGAGAAGGCGAACAACTTGAAGGCGAAAAGTGATGGAACGACAGCAACCACGGGATTTGAAGAGGGAACAGCCGCGCAGGCGAAAGCTTCGACAAACGTGGTGCTCTTGGCACCAAGCTTCGCAGTCTCTTGGAGAGCACACGGACCCAGATCAAGCTGGTACAGGCTCGGATCTCGGGCTTGATTTTCTTGAGCTGTCTTGAGCCGTTTGACTCCGTCCATTGCAAAGCCCGTTAGGCCAGTGATCTCTCCAAGGCGGAGTCCTTGCATTGGTGCGCGGGCACGGAGAAGATGTGGGAAGTGGACGGGTCCA